TAAATATGTTAATTAGTTTACTGTTTGTTATAAAAATGTTAAAACTGTTATTTCATTCTCTGAATACTAATCTAAAGTTCTTATTATTTTATTTTTGTTAGCTGTATACTGAATTTGCTAAATTGTTCTATAAGTGTTAATCATGAGTTCTTTGTATACTATTTGTGTTAAAAGTACATTATATTTGCTAATCTGTTCTTAGAATACTATTTATACACTTTTTGCATACTCTTCTTGTTAGCTATATATTTAATCTGCCAAGCAGTTTACTATCTGTTATTGTTATACTATGAATGTTAATCTATTCTCAATATATTAGCTGCAAGTTCTTTGTATACTATTCTTGTTAGCTACACATTATATATGCTCAATAAATTATTGCTTATTATTAATATAATCCAATATTAATTTATTCTTTCAATATTAATCATCAGTCTTTTGCATATTATATTTGTTAGCTATATATTATTTACAATTATTAGTATACTATTAGTACTAATTTGCTCTGCAAATATTAGTTGAAAATTTTCACGTTAAATGTATAAAATATTTTCTATTGAAAGAAACATCTAATAGTATATATTATATGCTTCAGCTACTATCAGTGCTTTCTAGAAATAAGTGCATATGTATATTTTTATAATTTAATGAATATAAATATTTTCAGAGCTTAGCTATTTTAATAATGTGTTATATAGTATAGAATTTTGCTAAAATACAGTCATATTTAATCTTGTAAACTATAGTATTTTATAGTTTCTATAATATATACCTATTTTCCAGCCATTTTTGCTACATTTTTTGCGCACTCAGTATGTATATAAAAATAATATCTAAGAAAGATGCTACTAGTATTCTAGTGTAAGAGTATTTTGTAGTATGTATAAAGTTATTTACAGCTTTAATGTTTTTTCTTCTTTTTTACATTGACTACTGTAATAAATTTGCTTTTAACTTGTGCTGATTTTTATTGATTGCTTTTATAGTTATCTATTTCAGTTTTTAATATAATTATTGTATTTGTAGTTCAAAATGATGTAACTACTAATAACATTAGCTAGATAGCATTAGTATTTAAAGTAAGTCATAAAAGTATATATAATTTATAACATTTGATTTAAATGATATCTAATAATAAATCTGTTTTCGAAATATTTTAAGATGATATTTAAGTGCTCAAATATATTCAACCTCTTTAAATATAAATAGATCATTTAAAAAAAGTTTTTATGTTTATATTTCATATTTCGAACTGCTAATGCCAAAGATTGCAGTAATACATTTTATAAATACAAGTGGTAAAATAAAATGCTAGTTTTAGAGCAAAAGGTAATATGTACAGCTTTTAACATCACTAACATATTTTATGAACATAGACTGGCATCTATGTTCTATTGTGACAACAGCAAATAGTTTCTTTTTGCTAAATACGAGACTAATAAGCTATATACAACTGTATTTGTGTTATAGAATGTCATATTTATTTTGCACTTTATTTATTTCTATATGCATACTAACAATATGTTATTTTAACTAGCAGATTCAGTAGCTAAAGCAACGGTTGACAATCCATTGCAAAAGCCACTGTATATATTAAAGGTTGTTATATTAGCAAATGACAGTTGTATCAAATATTGTACATCTAGCATTATATACAAAGGCAACAGTTATATTTAGACCTAGAAGTGTGAATATGTGTTAAACTTCTAGATTGCACTTGGAAATTATTTGTAAGTTGTTAGCTGAGTGTATATAGGAACATTGAAGCATAAAGTTTATGTGAGCTCAATGGCTCAGTGATTAAAGTGTGCATGTTCCAATGGACAGCTTGAAAGTAGTAAGATTGGAGTTCAATTTTCATTGGGTTCATTCATTTTTTTTCTTTTTTTTTAATATTATGCTTGTATATAGCAATCAATATGTTGTATAGCATAAGAAATCTGTATAGAATTAAATTTGAGTTTGGTATATTAATGTTGAAGCGAAGAATACTGAAATAACAGCCTATTAACAAGAAATAACAGCTCGTTAACATCAAATAACAGTTGATAAATGTCAAATGAATAGCTAATGAACAGCTTATGAATAGTTCATTAATGAATTACTGCATTAGTGTTAATTTACTATTAGAAATGTAAGCATAATATGAGAGATCAGTTAATTAATGTTACTATATTAATTAGTGTTAATTAGTACTATATAGTAGTAATTAACATTGTAAGCTTTTTCAGATGGTACTGTGAGAACAGTTTGCCTTTGAATATAATCTTTAACTGCGACAAGCTATTCATGTCACAATTTTGGTGTGTCTTTTATTGTCTCACTGGTGTTAAACTAAAGATGTCCACAGCGTATCACCCACAAACCGATGGCACCTCAGAGTGAACAAACAAAACTATCATACAAGCTCTTTGCTATTATGATCAGTGTAATCAAACTGGCTAGGCCTGCACGCTTCTGCTCATTTAATTCAACTACATGAACACTATGAATGCATCAACTGGCTTCACTTCGTTCTACTTGTGATATGGCTGCTCTTCCAAAATTATCTCCTCACTTACTCAGACTTGCCCACATACCTCTAAATATATCACCATTAATGAACTCATTCATCGCATCGAGATAGGCATTATGAAAGCACAGAACAACCTTTTACTTGTGAAACAACACCAGGCAAAACAGATGAACTGCTATTATGGCACCAAATATGTTTACAAGGTCAGTGATCTCGTTCTTCTGTCCACCTTCCATTGACACTGCAATTATATGCAGTGCAGTGATCACCACATTGCTAAATTCATGTGTTAGTTTGACAGTCTTTACAAAGTTATACAAGCATGGCCCAATTTCTTTGTTTATACTCTTGAACTCTTTTCCTATTTTAACATCTTTTCTACTTTTCATTCTTTTGTCCTGTGCTCTTTTATTTCTAATGATGACTCCTAATTCCCCTCACACGTATGTAGCCAGCCTGATCCTGTCATCTCTGATACTGATGAACATGAGCTACAATTTCCAAATATAATGGAGAAATGTTCTGTTAAAAGTAGCACTTTGGGGGTTAGTTCACTTTCTCACACAAATCTGCCTAACTCTTCAAACTCTTCAATATTTAAGCTACTGACTTAAAACTTGGTCTATATATACTCTTAGTATAGATCTACATATAAAAAATCACTTGATCATATACAGATCAGTTTTGCTTTTTAGCACTGTGTTTTGTGCTTGAGCTGGGGACTTAGACAAATTTCACGGATAGACCATTTTCAAAAGGCACAACATTCAGATAATCTTTATACCATTAGATAGAGCCTGTTAAGAGGGTCCAGAATATGTAAAAACATATGCCAAATTAATTGTTGAAAGGAGTGAACCAAAGAGAACAAAGTGCAAGAAAACATCAAATTAAGCGCTCGATAAGTGCCACAGCACGGTCTGCCTTCTTCATCATTTCTACTCTTTCTCACATATTTTTGCCTATAAATACCATATATTCTAAGGTTCACTATGTGTATGTCACCTATGTTATATAATATGGGAGTAATTTATAGCCATGTTCAATGATAAAGTGCTTGCCACTAGTCTTAAACCTTAGTACATAGTGTTACACAATGAATTGTGGGTTCCATAGTTAACGAAATCATCTGATTATTTTGTGGCGGGGTCTCTATAATACTTTTAACAGGCATGAATATATATAGAAATAGTGCAATTTGTTTGGAATTAACAACAATTGTTCACATGCTTTGCACTCTTAGTACTCTTTACAAAGCAATACTTGGTCATAATTCACAAATATATTCAAGGCACATCTATTACAATATTTGCAAAGTATTATATACCAATATTACTCATACCTGGGCATATAAGTTCATAATACAGCATATAGTCATTATCTTGTACATGAAATTTAATCTTTCCAGCTTCCAGACTCAGTAGCTGTTTTACTCTATTCTGCCACCTCAAAATTTCCATACATATCTTATAGAAATATTTAGTCTCACTATCTGTCATAGTGTC